CGCCCGCCGCCCGCCGCCCGCCGCCCGCCGCCCGCCGCCCGCCGCCCCTCGAGCGCAAGATCCCGCCTCCAGAAACCGAAGTGCGGACCTGTACCGCCGCTGCGAGGGCGGTCCCTCTCTTTTACTGGACTAAGACAGCCGACTGTGTTAAGCCAAGGACCAGGTCCGCCCCACTCCCGGGAAATTGTCCGCTCCCCCACTAGCTGGGGACGCACGTGTGTGTTGGGCAAAGGCCTCGGGAACGCGGCGAGCGGCGCACTCGGCACCCACTCCTGAGACGGGAGTCTGGGGGCCGCCTAACACTACTCAGGACAGGACCCAATCGACCGTGGCTGCACCCAAAGAGATTCGGCCCCTCTACCAAACAATGAAGATGGCCGAGCGCTCGGGGTTCGAAAGGCGAGCGACGGCGGAGGGATAACCCCCCCACGCCGCACCTCCGTGTCTCTGGGGGGCTCGGCCTACGACTTGGCAAAGACGGAATGCAAAAGACTGACTACTGTTAACAACTCTTTATTTGAGGCAGTGGGTGGCTCTTAAAAGAGCCTTTGATTTCACAGTTGCCCCCTTCGAGACCAGGGCTGGCGGGGTTTGCGGACGCCGGCCTCACTTGCCCTTTGCCTTGTGGTGACTCTCCGTCTTCTTGGGGAGCAACACGGCCTGGATGTTGGGCAGAACGCCGCCCTGGGCGATGGTGACTTTGCCCAACAGCTTGTTCAGCTCCTCGTCGTTGCGGATGGCCAGCTGGAGGTGGCGGGGGATGATGCGCGTCTTCTTGTTGTCTCGGGCCGCGTTCCCCGCCAGCTCCAGGATTTCCGCCGTCAGGTACTCCAGCACCGCCGCCATGTACACCGGCGCGCCGGCCCCGACCCGCTCGGCGTAGTTGCCCTTGCGCAGCAGGCGATGCACCCGGCCCACCGGGAACTGCAGGCCAGCGCGGGACGAGCGCGACTTGGCCTTAGCACGAGCCTTGCCTCCTTGTTTGCCACGACCAGACATGACAGCGACACTCGCGGCCAACACCTCCCGCTTGACGACCGAAAAAGTCGCCGCAGAGCGCCCCACTTCACCCTTTTATAGGCAGAACCCGGATTGTCTACGGAGCACTTCGATTGGCTCAAGCAGATCTTTGTCCTGACGGCCAATAGGGTGGCTTGGCCAGAATCCGCTTATTTACATAATCTCGTCGCCCGCGCCCGAGCGCCGCCGAAAAATCGCGAATCACGACGCGGCGTAACCAGAGCCTTAATTTGCCTACGGCCTCTTTAAGTACCGAGGCGCTTCCGGTAGCCTGGGCCTTGCTGTGCTGCGTGCGTTTCTGCTCCGTTCTTGGTCTGTCGCTATGCCCGAGCCGGCAAAATCCGCTCCCGCGCCCAAGAAGGGCTCCAAGAAAGCGGTCACCAAAGCCCAGAAGAAGGACGGCAAGAAGCGCAAGCGCAGCCGCAAGGAGAGTTACTCCATCTACGTGTACAAGGTGCTCAAGCAGGTGCACCCCGACACCGGCATCTCGTCCAAGGCCATGGGCATCATGAACTCCTTCGTCAACGACATCTTCGAGCGCATCGCCGGCGAGGCCTCCCGCCTGGCGCATTACAACAAGCGCTCGACCATCACGTCCCGGGAGATCCAGACGGCCGTGCGCCTGCTGCTGCCCGGCGAGCTGGCCAAGCACGCCGTGTCCGAGGGCACCAAGGCGGTCACCAAGTACACCAGCTCCAAGTGAGTCCCTGCCGGGACACGGCGCTCGCACGGGTCGCCGGTCGCTTCACTCCAAAGGCTCTTTTCAGAGCCACCCACCTTCTCGGCGAAAGAAGCTGTTTTCTCTCTTCAAAATTTCTTCTCTTTTAATACCACTTAATTTCATTTCCTTAGTCGATGTCAGCATTTTCCCTTGGAGGACATGCAAGGAACCCAAGAAGGAACTGATTCTTTAGCGTAGTGGAGAGCTAGGTAGAGTATGTGTATTTTTTGAAAAGTAACAGCTCTAACAGTGAAACGGTTAATGATGCGTGGCAGTCAACTTGTCTCAATCAAGATTGTAGAAATTAGTGTTAAAGAGTGTTTACTGTAAAGCAATTAGATTGGATCTGTACTTTGTAATTGCATTTTTCTTGCTCTGGAAGATTCGTGTTTGTAAAAATGCAAAGCAGTGCTTTCGAATCCATGCCCGTCACGTATTAGTAAACCTTATACTGTGTACCTCGGTATCTTGATTCTGTCGTTGACGTAATTCCTAGTTTACATACCTCCCCTGTCCCAGTTTGGTATTCTTTTCAGGTACATGGAATCAGTATGTACTTACTGTTCAAATTGGAGACGTTAAATTGTTAGAATAAGATAATAAAAAGGCCACTTATTTACAATAAACCGTTTTTGCTCAGGTGTTGAGAATTTACACAATTCTCCATAGTTGTAGTTTTGCTATTTTACAATCTGGATAAGGAAGGAAGCAGGAAAGAGGGTTTATAGATGTTCAGGGATTTCCAGATCCTGGGCCTGCTAATCACAAAATGCCCAGAAACTTACATTGTTAAAACTGTTAAGTCTTAAAAATGTCTGTCACTTGCTTGGAAGTGACATTCATTCTCTTCCTCTCTGAAAATAGTCGCTAAATATTAGAGAATAAAAAGGGCTTTCTCCATTTTTGAGACTAGATGTTTAAAAGCAGTGCTTCTTAAAACAGTCCAAAGGCCATACGACCCTGAATCAGTTTATCCCTAAAGCCACACATATTTCCTCCAAACCCAGATCATGGGCACTGGAGGTGAGAGGCCAGGATGAACAACCTCTGGAACACTCCAGGTGATTCACATGTTTGATAACCACTGACATACTGGCTATGTAGTTGCGGTATTACTTGGTAAAAACCTGTTGGCAGTTTTCGGTCACCACCCAGATAGTTCTTTCTTTTTCCTAAATTGTCCTTTCCCAGAACTGTTTTTAATACTACATACAAAATTAGTTTCATTTATTCCTTCATTAATTCAGGGCACCAGATATAGCATAGGACTTTGCCTTTCTACCTTTATTAGTGTTTGAAAACACATTTTAAAAGAGGTTAAGAAAACAGAAGATAAGGTACTAAAATAAATCTGTAAAACTAAAACTTCCTGGAAAAAAAATGTCAACACTGCAGGGGTCCTAGCCCATCCCCTTGCATAAACTCTTTTTCTCATGTACGTTCATAAAATCCCAAATATTATCCTCCAGCATGATTTTTATTACCTCCTGTCTGCCCTGCCCAATTAAAGAACAATAACTTATTTCTAATTCTAGTAGAATTAGAATTCTACTAATTCTAAATTAGTAGAATTTAGGATTCTACTAAATCCCTCCCTTCTTTCCGATGGTTAGACCCCAGGAAACATTTTCCTGCTTTTGCACGTGCCTTTGCTTGATCTACTAAGAGATTAGGCAGAAGGCTGAAGCGTGGAGATGGGGAGGAGAAAAGAAAATAGAGGAAGGTTTGAGTTTACAGGGAGGAATATAATGAAAACATTTTAAGAAGCACACAGGATGTTGGGCACATGCCATAATTACATGTTGGGGAGGTAGTCCTTACATTTGGTTCTGAGGATTCTCTGAATATGGGTAGGAAAGCCAAAAACAGCTAATTCTTAAAGGTGGAGGTGGCTCAGTGTAACTATATTATCTATCAATCGTTCCCTTTAGCACCAAAATTTACACTTAGAAGTGTGACATCTGTTCAGGCTCCACTATGACTATTTGTGCACACCATTTCCTGCAATAGAGGAGAGGGGGGAAAAACATATTTTGTACCCTCAGATAAGTAAAACATGCTGGGGATGCAGTAGTAAACAGACAAGAAAAAGTCCCTGTCCACATAAAGCTACATGTTAGTTGGTGGATGCTGAAAACAAGTAAATGAAAGAAATGTATAATAGTATAATATTCAGGGAATGATATGTGCTATGAAGTACAACAATATGGAATACAGTGTTGACAACAGGTCTGATCAGTTAATATTTGAGCAGAGGCCTGAATAAAGATAGTGAGCCATAGCCTATATTGGAGAAGAGTAGTCTAAGAACTGGAAAACAAGTGCAAAGGTCCTGAGGCAGGCACAAGTTTGGGGAGTTCAATAAATAAGCAATGCTAGTATGGCTGAAACACAGCCAGCAAAGGAAATATCTGCAGGGAGAAGAGATCAGGGAGGTAGTTGAGGATCAGATCATGTAGGCCATAGAGAGGCCTCATAGGCCATCATAAAGATTTTGTCTTTTATTCTAAATGAGTTGAAGTGCCTTTGGAGAGTTTGATCAGGGTAATGACATTATTTGACTTGTTTTTTTTAAAGCTCCCCCAGGATGCTATGTTAAAAAATAGACTAGGAGAGCAAGAGTAGTAGCAGGAGAGAGAGAGGTGGTATCAGTGGAGATCTGAGAAATAGTGAAGATATATTTTAATTGAAACTGATGAACT